CTATAGGACACTGGTGACTACACCCTCTACTGGACACTGGTGACTACACCCTCTACTGGACGCTGGTGACTGCACCCTCTACTGGACACTGGTGACTACACCCTCAACTGGACACTGGTGAAAACACACCCTACTGGACACTGCTGACTACACCCCCTACTGCACACTGGTCACTACACCCCCTACTGGACACTGGTGGCTACACCCTCTACAGGACACTGGTGACTACTCCCTCTACTGGACACTGGTGACTACACCCTTACTAGTCACTGATGACTACACCCTCTACTGGACACTGGTCACTACAACCTCTACAGAACACTGGTGACTACATCCCCTACTGGACACTGGTGACTACGCCCCCTACTGGACACTGGGGACTACACCCTCGACTGGAGACTGGTGACTACACCCCCTACTGGACACTGGTGACTGCACCCTCTACTGGACAATGGTGACTACACCTTCTACTGGACACTGGTTGAATGCACCCTCTACTGGACACTGGTGACTGCACCCTCTACTGGACACTGTTGACTACACCCTCTACTGGACTCTGGTGACTACACCCCCTACTGGACACTGGTGACTACACCCTCTACTGGACACTGGTGACGGCACCCTCTAATGGACACCGGTGACTACACCCTCTACTGGACACTGGTGACTGCACCCCCACTGGACACTCGTGACTACACCTTCTACTGGACACTGGTGACTACACCCCCTACTGGACACTCGTGACTACACCCTCTACTGGACACTGGTGACTACACCCTCTACTGGACACTGGTGACTACACACTCACTGGACACTGGTGACTACACCCTCTACTGGACACTGGTGAGTACACCCTCTTCTTGACACTGGTGACTGCACCCTCTACTGGACACTGGTGACACTACACTCTACTAGACTGGTGACTACACCGTCTATTGGACACTAGTGACTACACCCCCTACTGGACACTGGTGACTACACCTCCTACTGGACACTGGTGACTACACTCTTGACTGGACACTCGTGACTACACCCCCTACAGGACACTGGTGACTACACCCTCTACTGGACACTGGTGACTACACCCCCTACTGGACACTGGTGACTACACCCTCTACTGGACACTGGTGACTACACCCCCTACTGGACACTGGTGACTACCCCCACTACTAGACACTGGTGAATACACCCCCTACTGGACACTGGTGACTACACCCCCTACTGGACACTGGTGACTACACTCCCTACTGGACACTAGTGACTGCACCCCACTACTGGACACTGGTGACTACACCCCCTACTGGACACTAGTGACTACACCCTCTACTGAACACTGGTGACTACACCCTCTACTGGACACTGGTGACTACACCCTCTACTGGACACTAGTGACTGCACCCTCTACTGAACACTGGTGACTACACCCTCTACTGGACACTGGTGACTACACCCCCTACTGGACACTGGTGACTATACCTTCTACTGGACGCTGGTGACTACACCTCCTAATGGACACTGGTGACTACACCCTCTTCTAGACACTGGTGAATACACCCTTACTAGTCACTGATGACTACACCCTCTACTGGACACTGGTCACTACAACCTCTACAGGACACTGGTGACTACATCCCCTACTGGACACTGGTGACTACGCCCCCTACTGGACACTAGGGAATACACCCTCGACTGGACACTGGTGACTACACCCCCTACTGGACACTGGTGATTACACCCTCTATTGGACACTGGTGACTACACCCTCTACAGAACACTGGTGACTACTCCCTCTATTGGACACTGGTAACTACACCCTCTACTGGACACTGGTGACTACAACCCCTGCTGGACACTGGTGACTACACCAAAACTGGACACTCGTGACTACACCCTCTACTGGACACTGGTGACAACACCCCCTAGTGGACACTGGTCACTACACCCTCTGCTGGACACTGGTGACTACACCCTCTACTGGACACTGGTGACTACACCCCCTACAGGACACTGGTGACTACAATCTTGACTGGACACTCGTGACTACACCCCCTATTGGACACTGGTAACACTACACTCTACTAGACATAGGTGACTACACCCTCAACTGGACACTAGTGACTACACCCTCTACTGGACACTGATGACTACACCCTCTCCTGGCCACTGGTGACTACAACGCTCTACTGGACACTGGTAATTACACCATCTACTGGACACTGGTGACTACACCCTCTACTGGACACTGGTGACTACACCCTCTACTGGACACTGGTCACAACACCCCCTAGTGGACACTGGTCACTACACCCTCTACTGGACACTAGTGACAACACCCACTACTGGACACTGGTGACTACACCCCCTACAGGACACTGGTGACTACAATCTTGACTGGACACTCGTGACTACACCCCCTATTGGACACTGGTAACACTACACTCTACTAGACATAGGTGACTACACCTTCAACTGGACATTAGTGACTACACCCTCTACTGGACACTGGTGACTACACCCTCTACTGGACACTGGTGACTACAACCCTCTACTGGACACTGGTAATTACACCATCTACTGGACACTGGTGACTACACCCTCTACTGGACACTGGTGACTACACCCCCTAATGACCACTGGTGACTTCACACTCTATAGGACACTGGTGACTACACCCTCTACTGGACACTGGTGACTACACCCTCTACTGGACGCTGGTGACTACACCCTTACTAGTCACTGATGACTTCACCCTCTACTGGACACTGGTCATTACACCCTCTACAGGACACTGGTGACTACACCCTCTACTGGACACTGGTGACTGCACCCTCTACTGGACACTGATGACTACACCATATACTGGACACTGGTGAAAACACACCCTACTGGACACTGGTGACTACACCCCCTACTGCACACTGGTCACTACACCCCCTACAGGACACTGGTGAATACACCCCCTACTGGACACTGGTGACTACACCCCCTACTGGACACTGGTGACTACACCATCTACTGGACACTGGTCACTACACCCCCTACTGGATACTGGTGACTACACCATCTACTGGACACTGGTCACTACACCCCCTACTGGATACTGGTGAAAACACCCTCTGCTGGACATTGGTGACTACACCCTCTACTGGACACTAGTGACTAAACCCTCTACTGGACACTGTTGGCTACATCCTCTACAGGACACTGGTGACTACTCCCTCTACTGGACACTGGTGACTACACCCTCTACTGGACGCTGGTGACTACACCCTTACTAGTCACTGATGACTACACCCTCTACTGGACACTGGTCACTACAACCTCTACAGAACACTGGTGACTACATCCCCTACTGGACACTGGTGACTACACCCCCTACTGGACACTGGTGAGTACACCCTCTACTGGACACTGGTGACTACACCCTCTACTGGACGCTGGTGACTACACCCTTACTAGTCACTGATGACTTCACCCTCTACTGGACACTGGTCACTACACCCTCTACAGGACACTGGTGACTACACCCCCTACTGACCACTGGTACCTACACCCTCTATAGGACACTGGTGACTACACCCTCTACTGGACACTGGTGACTACACCCTCTACTGGACGCTGGTGACTGCACCCTCTACTGGACACTGGTGACTACACCCTCTACTGGACACTGGTGAAAACACACCCTACTGGACACTGCTGACTACACCCCCTACTGCACACTGGTCACTACACCCCCTACTGGACACTGGTGGCTACACCCTCTACAGGACACTGGTGACTACTCCCTCTACTGGACACTGGTGACTACACCCTTACTAGTCACTGATGACTACACCCTCTACTGGACACTGGTCACTACAACCTCTACAGAACACTGGTGACTACATCCCCTACTGGACACTGGTGACTACGCCCCCTACTGGACACTGGGGACTACACCCTCGACTGGAGACTGGTGACTACACCCCCTACTGGACACTGGTGACTGCACCCTCTACTGGACAATGGTGACTACACCTTCTACTGGACACTGGTTGAATGCACCCTCTACTGGACACTGGTGACTGCACCCTCTACTGGACACTGGTGACTACACCCTCTACTGGACACTGGTGACTACACCCCCTACTGGACACTGGTGACTACACCCTCTACTGGACACTGGTGACGGCACCCTCTAATGGACACTGGTGACTACACCCTCTACTGGACACTGGTGACTGCACCCCCACTGGACACTCGTGACTACACCTTCTACTGGACACTGGTGACTACACCCCCTACTGGACACTCGTGACTACACCCTCTACTGGACACTGGTGACTACACCCTCTACTGGACACTGGTGACTACACACTCACTGGACACTGGTGACTACACCCTCTACTGGACACTGGTGAGTACACCCTCTTCTTGACACTGGTGACTGCACCCTCTACTGGACACTGGTGACACTACACTCTACTAGACTGGTGACTACACCGCCTATTGGACACTAGTGACTACACCCCCTACTGGACACTGGTGACTACACCTCCTACTGGACACTGGTGACTACACTCTTGACTGGACACTCGTGACTACACCCCCTACAGGACACTGGTGACTACACCCTCTACTGGACACTGGTGACTACACCCCCTACTGGACACTGGTGACTACACCCTCTACTGGACACTGGTGACTACACCCCCTACTGGACACTGGTGACTACACCCTCTACTAGACACTGGTGAATACACCCCCTACTGGACACTGGTGACTACACCCCCTACTGGACACTGGTGA